TGGTACTCTAGCCCAACTATTTCTTCTGTCCAATCCTGCTTCTTTCTCTTCCCCAATAGGTGGTAATCCTGAGAGCACTCCCTAATAAACTTCTTCCATGTTCATCTCAGTCTTAGACTCTGCTTCCCTGGGGACACAACCTGTGACAATCTCTTTTAGGTTTTCACTCAATGTCACCCTCTCAGGGAAACTTTCCCTTATCACCCTTACAGGACTGCAACCCTCACCCAATATTCTCAATATTCCTTCCCTGCTTTACTTTACCCTTTACCACTGTCAACAGCTAACATCATCTCTATTTTACCTATTTTTCCATTCTACTGTCTCTCCTTCCACTAGCATGTTCTGAACTTCAGGAAGACAGGGACTTATCTTTGATTTGCTTACTGTTGTATCTCCATCATCTGGAATAATACCTGGCATGTAGACATTGCCCAATACCTGATTGTTGAGTGACTGTTGCATGAAAAAGGGGCAGGGCCCCACAGAAGATGGTTGTTTTATCAACAGGGTGCAAGAGGGGGATGGAGATAGAAGAAGCTGATAAAAAGAGTAAGCTTATTAATAATGAGGTGCCTTGGGTTGCCCACTGAAGAAACAATTTGGGATGCAGGAGGAGATGAGAGAGCAAAGAGAGCCAGATGGACTGGCAGAGTTTGTACGGAGAAGGTGAAAGAAAGAGGGGAAAATGAGTAGCTCCAGGGAGATTCTGGACTTTAGAGGGAGAGAGAGAGATGAGAATAAGGAATTTTTAGGATCTAGTATTGTGTGTGGCACGATGTAATTCCTCTTGACTGCCTTCCTCATGAAAACCTTCAGCAAAACAACTATAATGGTAGTGCACATCCATGTAGTGGGTAAGCTTGAAGGCTTTATAGTAGATTGCTTGGGTCCAGTCTCAGCTCCAGCACTCACTGTGTGACCTTGGGCAACTTCTCTGTGCCCTGGTCTGCTCATCCGTAAAATGAGAACTCTAGTATCTGCTTCATGTGGCTATCTTTAGGAGTAAATGAGATAATATATTGGACGTGCTTAACACAGTGACAGCTTCATGAATGTTAGCCATCATTTCTATTATCATGAAGTAGGTTAAAAGCTAAAAGAGATTGATAGGTGTTGACAAGAAAAGACTTCAAGTATATCACCACACTATTGTTAAGTGAAAATGCAAGATGCAAACAATGCAAACGGTAAGATTCCATTTATATATATCTATCAAAACAATGTATTTTTACATGTGTATTATGCATGCAAATGCCTCACTCTGCTATAATGAATCTCAAAGTGGGAATAAGAAGTCCAGTTTCATTTGGATTATGCCCATTTTGTAGTTGAGGAAACTGAGACTTAGGAGGTTTAAATTAAGTAACTTACCCAAGGGGCCGGCCCAGTGGCATAGTGGTTAAGTTTGCATGCTCTGCTTTGGCAGCCCGGGGTTCGCAGGTTCGGATCCCAGGCATGGACTTACACACTGCTCATCAAGCCATGCTGTGGCGGCGTCCCATATACAAAATAGAGGAAAATGGGCATGGATGTTAGCTCAGGGCTAATCTTCCTCAGCAAAAAGAGGAAGATTGGCAATGGATGTTAGCTCAGGGCCGATTTTCCTCACACACATGCACAAAAAGTAACTTACTCAAGGTCATACCTGGTACAGACTAAGTTGTGATTGAAGTTCAAGTTGGCTTGACTCCATAGTTCATGATCAGGCAAGAAAATGCAAAGGAAAGGAGTGAGTGGTGTCAGGCACAGAAGGAGAGAAAACCTGGTTGAGTCTTGGCACCTCTCTGGAGGAAGAGAGGGGAACAGGGCATAGCTGGCACCTGAGAAGGGTCCTCATGCTGAATGGCTTGTGTGAGGTTTATTTGGAAGCTGCTGCAATGGCTCTAGTGAGCCGTGAGCTTAAGTGGCCCAAAGGAAGGCAGAGCAGTGGTGACAGGATGGAAAAATGCCCCTGAGCCCAGAGACCAAGAGGACTCCAAGAGGGGCTGGGTGGGGAAGGTGAGGGAAGGAGAAGGATGATGCTCTGCTTTGGGTGACAGTAGGATGGTCAGGGACCACATGAATGGAGAACACAGAGAAGAGAGGGTTCGGAGGCATGGGTGGTGGGGAGAAGAGGGTGCAAGAGAGTTTGGTTTTGAACAGGTTGAGTTTAATGTAACAAGAGACATCTAGGCGGCTGCAATAAAAGTCTGGAGCTGGGGGTAGAGGATGGAATTGGAAGTCATTGATAATAAGAATGATAGCTAACATTTACTGAACACTGACTATTTGCTAGGCTCTGTTCTAAGCTCTTTACATGTACAGTGTATTAACTTAATCTTCCTAACAACCCTCTGAAGTAGACCCATTTTAAACTCCATTTTATTTTATTTTTTTTAAAGATTTTATTTATTTATTTATTTTCCCCCCAAAGCCCCAGTAGATAGTTGTATGTCATAGCTGCACATCCCCCCAGCTGCTGCATGTGGGATACGGCCTCAGCATGGCTGGAGGAGCAGTGCGTCGGTGCACGCCCGGGACCCGAACCCGGGCCGCCAGCAGCGGAGCGCGCGCACTTAACCGCTAAGCCACCGGGCCAGCCCCATAAACTCCATTTTATAACTGAAGAAACTGACCTAGCATTTATTGAGCATTTGCCATGTATCAGGCACGTAGGATTTTACAGGAATTATCTCATTTAATCTCTACAGCTGCCATATGCCATAGGTGCTATTATCATCCTTGTTATAAGGATGGGCAAACTAAGGCCCTGAGAAGCTAAGGAACTTGCCCAGGGTCACACACGGGAAGGCCAGGGCTCAAAACCTAGCAGTCCAACTCCAGAGCTGGGTGCCTTGCCCCCTTTTTTAAAGGCTCACAAGAGCAAGCGGTGTTGAGAAAACAAGGAGGGGTTTTTCAGAAGAGTGTGCTGAGTGATGTTGACCCATACTGAGGATCAAGGACGTAAAGCCTGGAACATGACTCCTGGTTTGCCAATTGGGAAGCATTTGAGGAGTCCTGAAAGACCAGTTTCAGAGAAGTTGTAGGTGAGCAGGGTTCCAGGCTGCAGGGACCAGCAGAGTGAGAGGGAGACAGGCAACCTAACCTAGAGCACTCACAGAGCCTCCCTCCTGCCTCATGTAACAGGTACCCGGTGGGAGGGACTGTGTTCCTAGGCACATTCCAGCTTCTCCCTGGTGATGGGCAGCTCTGCTAGGATTGAGCTTCTCCACCCCCCACCAAGAATCCCGTAGCCCTGGGTGATCAGGGGTGGTACCCCACACAGCCTTCAGGACTAAACAGCCAGAGTAATCCTGGAGCCAGAGAAGGAACTCCATATAAACGGTGGGTTTTTCCAGGGCTCCATACCAACAGCTGTTTATAGCATTCATCACACATAGCAAAAACATCTTAAGTGTTGGCAAGACATCAGATTGAAGACGGCCTTATCTTTCATGCGTGCTTCTTAATTAGAACGTAAAACTTTTTTTTTTTTTAAAGATTTTATTTATTTATTTTTCCCCCAAAGCCCCAGTACATAGTTGTCTGTCATAGCTGCACATCCTTCTAGTTGCTGTATGTGGGACGCGGCCTCAGCATGGCTGGAGGAGTGGTGCCTCAGTGCGCACCCGGGATCCGAACCCGGGCCGCCGGCAGCGGAGCGCACGCACTTAACCGCTAAGCCACGGGGCCGGCCCTAGAACGTAAAACTTTTTAAGAACTACTCAGTCACATTCAAGCTTGCTTTCCCTAGCATCTAGAGTCTCAAAAAGATCAAAACAACCAATCACCCAGGGCAGCACTAATGGGCTGTGGCATCTGGTGGTTTTATTACTCTGTAATAAGGTTACTTACGCTCTCTCTTGAGTTCTTTAATCACTATGCACATGGATTCCCATCTGTCTTTTACCTGTTCTATCACCAGTGGCTGCCTGACAATCTTGGAACATCTTCTTAGGAGAAGATGCACATTCCGTCCTAATCAGGATTTCTGTGAGCTGGAGAGGCAACCGTTGTTGCTGTTTACCTCTAGGGACTTGTTATTGGGCTTCCGTCTGCAGAGTCAACAGAAACGTGGCCTAGGAAACATTCCTTTTGGTTGGAAGGCAGGCTTGCTAGGGGCCTTTGAGATCCTTGCCTAGGACAGTGGACTACCAGTATTTCAGTGCTGCTACAGAAACCCCCAGACGTTTGGCCCATAAGTTCTCCCACATTATACTGCAGAACCACCAACAGCACTCAGACCAAGAGACAGATGAATCTCACGTTCACTGGTTGGGATCCATCTCATGGCACAAGTCACCATCTATTTCCACGCAGTACAGGTGAGGAGACACACCAAGTTAGGAGTCTTGGACAGGGCCACATGCTGGGTTAGGGGCAGAGCTGAGACAGTATCGGGCCCCTTGACTCTCACTTAGCACTCTTTCTTCCACAACACTCTGATCCTCCTGATTGGCATATTGCGGGGCGGGGTATAGGGCGTTCATTTCTCTGGGCATAAATTCCCATGTCCACCCGTGACGTCAAGTCAGAAGAGGCCAGAATGCTATGTTCAAGGCAGAATCCCAGCCACAAACGGAATTAGTCTTCGGCCGGAAAGCCAAATAATGCTTCCCAGATCTGCCCACGACGTGGAGAGATGAGGTGATTTGTGCGTTTGGGTTGAGCAGTGTCAGCTTTAGGTATTTAGTGTGGCTTCCCCACCGTCAGGCTTCTAAAATGCAATACCTTGACTAGTCCCCTATAAGCAGCCGTTCCCAAATATAGTGGCGCTTAGACAGCCACCTCGAGGAAGGAGGTTCATCATACGGTGGCTGGAGGGGCGGGGGAGGGAGGCGAGGCCCAGCCCAGCCCATGCCTGAGCTTCGGACCCCCGACTCAGGACTCAGGCAGAGCGGGTAGAAGCGCATAAGGACGGCGGACCCCGCACGGGGCCGGGAGCAGTAGAGAGGGCCGCCTCCTGCCGCCTAGAGGCGCCAACCCGCACGTCCGCTCTGTCCGCGCCACGTCTCTATGGCGGCCCCAACGGCCGTCCGGGGCGCGGAGCGGGATGAGCGCGGGCGCCGACGGTAGCGGCGGCGGCGGCGGCGCTGGGACCGAGGCGCGGGTCGGAGGGGGCAGTCCTGGAGCGGATGGCTTCGTCCCGTCGGCGCTGGGGACCCGAGAGCAGTGAGTGTGGCGTAGGGCAGCGGAGGGCGAGCGGCGGTGCCCGGACTGGGCCCCGGGAGGGGACGGAGATGGGGAGGGCCTTGGGGGCGTGACGGGAGGAAGCCTAAAGGGCCGTCTTGGGCGAGGGGAAGGGGCACTGAAGCGATAAAATCCCGAGGGGCCACTCTGGGGGCGGTTAGGAGGCGTTTCAAGGGGTTGACGTCTAAGGGGCTCGTGGGGTGCGGGACGGGCTCTGAGGCTCTTGAGGAGGCCTTTTAGGGGTCTTGAACCTCAGGGGCGGGCTTGGGGAAAGGGAGAGAGGGCAGAGCCGACGAATAGGGCTGGTGGGCGAGGGTTAAGAGGCCTGGGGGGAAAACTGCCGGGCCCAGGGGCTGAAAAGGCTAAGACGACGAGGGTAGGGATATGGGATCTGGAAAGAGTGGGAGTGGAGGATGATCCGAGGAGGGAGAGAGGAGATAGTGGGGCATCTTGGGGTAGGCGAAAATGATCTGACCTAAAACAAAAGCTCAGTAATTATTTAATGAATTAATAGGTGGATGAATGAATAACTATGGGGGAAAGGTAAGGATGAGCTGTAACTTGGAGGGGTGAGAGGAGCAGGGATTCTGGAGAGATGAGGTGGGAAAGGAAGGCAAGTGATGGGGGAGGGGGAACTGTACTTAATAGAAATAAGAGTAAATCTTAAACTGAAAGCTTAACCTTTAAGCAGAACTTATCTTCGGTGAGTTCCATTGTGAGCAACCACTGTATTGGTAGAAAACCCTTGTGTCTGCACATTTTAGACTGAAATGTGCTGTCGTGACACTATGCCTGTATAGTCAAGTTTTGAACTTGTGTTTGGGATTTAGGGATCCTTGGACAAATACTTCAAATACTTTTTTTTTTTTTTGTGAGGAAGATCAGCCCTGAGCTAACATCCATGCCAATCCTGTTTTTGCTGAGGAAGACGGGCCCTGAACTAACATCTATTGCTGATCCTCGTCCCTGTCTTTCCCCTTTTTCTCCCCAAAGCCCCAGTAGATAGTTGTATGTCATAGTTGCACATCCTTCTAGTTGCTGTATGTGGGACACGGCCTCAGCATGGCTGGACAAGCGGTGTGTCGGTGCCGCCAGTAGTGGAGCGTGGGCACTTAACCGCTAAGCCATGGGGCTGACCCCTCAAATATTTTTTAAAGCGAAAACATAACATTTTTTATGTGTTGGGTGTTGTTCTAATTGCTTTATATGTATAAACTTATTCTGTCTTTCATTCTTTCAACACAAGGATGTTAAGAGATTGAGCTATGTGCACTTATTGATAACACTAATAGTTTTAAACTGTCATAAATATCTCTGTAATGTATTAGTGTTTCATTTAGTTCCTAATATAGTTTAATTCAAGAATCTTGCTTTGCATTTGATTATTTATATAGTTGGGATGCTGTCTATGAGAGAGAACTGAAAACTTTCCAAGAATATGGAGATACAGGAGAAATATGGTGAGTTAGAAAAAATAGTGGAATTATGATGCAGAGGATTGTGTGTGTGTGTGTGTGTGTGTGTGTATATGTATCTTTTCGTTGCTTGTCCCAAAGAAAGACAGCCTAAAAATCTTGGGAACCTTAGGCTGATTCTGGCTTTAGTGAGTAGATTTAAAGAATCTCACTCTTTTCTCTCTTCTAGTGGCCCAGATTTAAATTCGATGAGAGTATTAGGAAATTACTCTTTTTCAATTAGGAAATTGTCCTTTTTCAATAAGCAATAAAATTTTGAGCCATGACCGTGTACAAGTGTTAATGCTGATGTAGAGAAACAATAGGTAACATACCAACCTTATCTATTCTGTTCTGTTCTTGGAGGTATTTTCTCCTAAATAATAGTAGAGATGAAGCTTAAGCAGTGAGAGATATCACTTCTTACTTTCAAAAAAGACTTGAGTACATTGAGTAAGCTGCTTAAATGGAATATAGTTGTAACTTTTGCTCTATATCCACCTGTTATTTGATTAACTGGTTCTCTGTTTCTAATAGGTTTGGAGAAGAGAGTATGAACCGACTAATAAGGTGGATGCAAAAACACAAGATTCCATTGGATGCTTCTGTGCTTGATATTGGAACTGGAAATGGTGTTTTCCTGGTTGAACTTGTTGGTACTTTTAGTATTCATGTGTTAGAGCGAAATTTTAAAATGAAAATTTAAAAAAATCATGCAATTGAGAATACTAACTATCTAAATCTAAAGTAGTAAAGCAATCATACCTCTTACTTTGAGAAGTCACGTGGTACAAAAAGGAGGCTGCATGGACTGTGAAAAAACACTAAATGAGAAGCCGGGGAATCTGGCTTCTAGTCTTGACCCTTCTGGCTGTATCTTTGTCCTTGAGCAAGCCACTTTTTTTTCAGTTCTTTCCTAAAGATTTTGACTAGATGATCTCTATTGGTTTCTTCTAGCTCAAAACTCCAGAAATCTATGTGTATAAAAGGAAGATGACTTTTTGCACTTCCAGTAGGACATGTGTACCTTATCTTAGGTGAGGATGTGGTTTGAAAAGAGCATTTTGTTCATGGAACTGAGTTTTGGAACAGGTTCTTCTACTAGCTAAACCATCACTCTTGTGAGCCTATAGCGTGTTCATTGCTGTGCCGTGTGCTGTGGGGGAAGTATAAGACTTAGGCTTCATTCTAGATGTTTTACTGTCTTAATTTGTGAAGGTACATACATAACAGTGAAATTTATTGATTATCATGTGCCAAGCCTTGTGCTAGGCATTGGCAACATGAAAATTTAGACCTTATGCCTGAGTTGTTCACAGTATAATAGAAGATGGACTAACATAGATAAACAGTTAATGCTGTAGCTTGATGTGTGCAACAATAGATATACTGAGTACGGAAAAGGGAGTGATTAACTTGGGGGAAGAGGGATAGGAGGGGTCTTGGAGGAGCTAATACCCAAGTTGGGTGGAAATTGCAGGGGCAGGATGTGAGTGTGGGTGGAGTATAAAGAGGGAGAGAATTTCAAGCGCTGGAAACAATATTGAAAGGCGTGAAGATTTGAAGCAGCATAGTATGTACTGGGCCTGGAAATAATTTGGTAAATTAGAACATCAAATGTATGTGTGGGATGGACAGAGATGAGGATTAAAATGTAGGAGCCATATCGTATTATGCCTTGCCTAAGAGCTTAGATTTTACTTTTAGGCTATCAGGAGCCATTAAAATGTTTTAAGCAGTGGAATATGATTCAGAAAATTTGTAATGAACTTTTTAAAAATGTTGAGGTATAGCATATGCACATTAAAGTACAGAAATCAAAAGAGTATGACTCAATGAATTACCACAAAGTGAACACACCTGTGTAACTATCACCTTGGTCAAGAAGTAGAGTATTAGAGACTCTAGAAACTCCCCTTGAACTCCCTACCAGTCTTCTCTAAATTACTCCCTCCTTCCTCTCTAACCACTATCCACTAACCATGAGGAGTTTTAACATCATAGATTAATTTGCCTGTTTCTGAATATATAAATGGAAGTCTTCAGTATGTGTTCTTTTTAGTGTCTTTCACTCAACATTCTGTGAGATTCACTCAAGTTGTTGCATGTAGCAGTAGTTTATTTGTTTTCATTGCTGTATGATTCCTTTGTATGATTATACTGCAGTTTTATTTATTTGTTTGAAGATTGTTTACCTGTAGATTCTTTTGGATTTTAATAGTTTATTTGTAGAGGCTAATGATTTATCCTTTGAGACTAATAGTTTAACTGTAGATTCTTTTAGATTTTCTACATATACAGTTATGCACACTGAAAAATGATAGTTTTATTTCTTCCTTTCTAATCCTTAATAACTTCCCCCCCTTATTATGCTGTCTAGGACCTCCAGTAGAATGTTGAAAAGAAGTGGTGACAGAAGGCATCCTTGTCTTTTTTCCCCTTTTCAAAGAATGGTTTCAGTATTTCGCTGTTAGGTATGATGTTAGCTTGAAAGTTTGTTTTGTAGATAACTCTTATCAGATTAAGCAAGTTTCCTCCTATTCCTGCTTTGCTAAGTGTGTGTGTTTCTCATGAATCTTGTTGTTTATCAAATTTTTTTCCTGTAGCTATTGAAATAATAATGTAAATTTTCTCTTTTAGTCTATTCATGTTGGTGAATTACATTGGTCACTTTTTTTTTTTATTTATTTTTTTTATTTTTTTTTTTAAAGATTTTATTTATTTATTTTTCCCCCAAAGCCCCAGTAGATAGTTGTATGTCATAGCTGCATAGCTGCACATCCTTCTAGTTGCTGTATGTGGGACGCGGCCTCAGCATGGCTGGAGGAGTGGTGCCTCGGTGCGCACCGGGGATCCGAACCCGGGCCGCCGGCAGCGGAGCGCACGCACTTAACCACTAAGCCACGGGGCCGGCCCCAACATTGGTCACTTTCAAATGTTAAATGCGCTCTTGAAATAAACCCAATTTATGTATATTACTGGATTCAGTTTATTAATATTTTGTGTAGGATTTTTGCAACTTTGTCCATGAGAGGAATTGTCTTGTAATTTTCGTTTTTTGTAGTGTCCTTGTCAAGTTTTGGTATCAGGTTATGCTGGCATCATTAAATGAGAATCTGTCTTTTGAAAGAGTTTGTTGATGATTGGTTTTTTTCTTCCTTAATTGTTTGGTAGAATTCACTGGCGAAGCCACCTGGATAGGGAGTTACTTATGGGAAGTTTTTTTCTTTTTTAATGTGAACTTATTTAAATGAAGTATAATATACATATAGAAAAGTAAGCAGGTCATAAGTGTACAGCTTTTACAAAATGGACACCTCTGTGTAACTCACCAACCTGATCAAGAAATAAAACATTGTTAGCACCATAGAAGTCCTCTTGTGCCCCCTCTTGCTCATTCCCTTCTAATGGTAACCACTGTTTTGACTTCTATCATCATACAGTAGGCTGTTTTTGTTATTAGCTGTACTGGTTTCTCATTGTGGTTTTAATTAGCATTTCCCTAATGATTAATGATGTTGAGCACCTTTTCATATGCTTATTTGCCATCCAGATATCTTGTTGGTGAAATGTTTGTGTGTGTGTGTGTTCAAATCCTTTGCCTGTTTTTAAATTGAGTTGTTTATTTATTGTTAAGATTTGAGGATTCTTTATGTATTCTGGATATAAGTTCTTTGTCAGGTATGTCATTTGCAAATGTTTTCTTCCATTCTTTGGCTTGTTTTTTCATTCTCCCAACAGTATCTTCTGAAGAGCAGACATTCTTGACTTTGATGAAGTCAAATTTATTAATTTTTTCTCATATGGATTGTGCTTTTGTTGTCATATTAAAGAATTCTTTGCCTAACTCAAAGTCACATAGATCTTTTATGTTTTCTTCTAAAAGTTTTCAAGTTCTACCTTTTACATTTAGATCTATGATTCGTTTTAAGTTAATTTTTGTATAAGGTTTGAAATACTGTTTGAGATCTTTTCTTGCTTATGAATGTTGAATTGTTCCATCCATCATTTGTTGAAAAGATTATCCTTTCTCCACTACATTGAGTTTTGCCTATTTTTAACTTGATATAAATGGTATGGAGTCTGCACTTTATTTATTTATTTATTTATTTGCTGAGAGCTAATATCCCCTGCCAATCTTCCTGTTTTTGTATGTGAGCTGCCACCACCGCATGGCCACTGACAGAGGAGTTGTGTAGGTCCGTGCCTGGGAACCAACCCCGGGCCACTGAAGCGGGGTGCACCGAACTTAGCCACTAGGCCACAGGGTTAATAATTTTTAAATTTTTAAATTTTATTGACATGAAGTTGTTCATAATTTCCTGTTAAACTGAAAAAAATTAACATATTATAAAATTGACTCTGTTTTGCATACAGTTCTATGAAATTTAACACATGTAGAGATTCATGTAATCCCATCACAGTCAGGAGGCAGAATAGTTCCATCCAGAAAACTCTCCCATGCCATCCTATGTAGCCACACCCTTTCCCCTAGGTAGCCACTCATCTGTTCTCCATCACTAGTTTTGTGTTTTGAGAATGTCCTATAAAGTAGAATCATGCAGTATATAATCTGTTGAGACTACTTTCTTTTGCTCAGCATAGTGCTTTTGAGGTTCATCCACATTTTTGCGTCTATCAGTAGTCATTCCTTTTTATTGCTGAGACGCATTCTGTTGTATTGATATAACACACACTTTATCCATTTTCTTGTTGAAGGACATTTGGGTTGTTGCTCATTTTTGGCAGTTATGAATAAAGCTGCTATAAACATTTGTGTATATGTTTTTGTGTGAACGTGTTTAATTTCTCTAGTGTAAATGTACGTTTAACATTGTTAGAAACTTCGAGGCCATTTTTCTGAGTGATCATATCATTTTGCATTTGTATTTTACGTGCATGAACAATGCGTGCTAGTTCTAGTTGGTCTGTATCCTTGCTGGCATTTGGAATTGTCAGTTTTTTTCTATTTTAGCGATTCTAATATGTATGTAGTGGCATCTAATCATGGTTTTAGTTTGTATTTCCCTAATGGCTAATGATGTTGAACATGTTTTCTTTCTTTCTTTTTTTTTTTTTTTTGTGAGGAAGATCAGCCCTGAGCTAACATCTGGTAATCCTCCTCATTTTTTGCTGAGGAAGACTGGCCCTGGGCTAACATCCGTGCCCATCTTCCTCCACTTTATATGGGACGCCGCCACAGCATGGCTTGCCAAGCAGTTTGTCGGTGCACGCCTGGGATCCCAAACGGCAAACCCCGGGCTGCCGCAGCGGAGCACGCTCACTTAACCGCTTGTGCCACCGGGCTGGCCCCTACTGTTGACTTTTGAGGGTTCTTTATATATTCTGGATGCAAGTCTTTTCTCTGATATGTGATTGCAGATGTTTTCTCCCAGTCTTTAGCTTCTCTTTTCATCCTCTATAATAGATGAAAACTAAAAGTTTAGAGCAAAAGTTTATAATTTTGATCAGGTCCAGTTTATTGAGTTTTTCTTTTATGTGTTGTGGTTTTGGCGTCATGTCTAATAGCTTGTTGCTGAGTCCCCTTTCTTCTTTCTTCCCCCTAAAAGTTTTATAGTTTACATTTGGATTTATGATCTTTTTTGAATTAATTTTTGTTTTAATTATCCTTTTTTTTTTTTTTTCTTGTGAGGAA